TCTAATTTGCTGAATGAATAATTAAATAGCTGCCGTATTTTTACTGTACAAATTTTTATTGAACTCGAGTATGAAGGGTAGAACGAAATAAAATCTGTCTCAATTTAATTAGAGATTGATTTTTATTTTAAGTAAAAATTCTTTAATATATTTAAAAGACGAGAAGACCCTATATAATTTAATAATTCATTATGTGTAATTAATTCATATTTTTCTCAAATATGTAATGAATAATATAATTGGGGATGATTTCAAAATTTTTAAATTTTAAAAACGTTTTAATGTATTTAGTAATATTTAATTAAGTTTAAACTGAATAATTTGAAAAAAATTATTAGAAATTTATTAATAATGAAATTAAATGGAATTACCTTAAGGATGACAGCGTCATTCTTTTGAATTTTGATAAAAAAAGTTATTACAGCGAGTGAAAGTAATTATATTGAAAAATCTGAATATCTAGCATTTAAAGGACAATATATTATAAAAAATTTGTATGTCATGCTATGATTGTTAAATAAGTTTTCCAAAAACTATAAAAATATATAGATGAAATATCCATTGAAGGGCTTTTAAAATTTATGTTAACGGTCTGGTATATGAACAAGTTACCTTATATATGAAATATATTAAATTTCATATATTTAAAAGATTTCTTAGAAATGTATAAAATTGTTCTTAAGCTTAACCAATTTACTTAAACGGTATTATAAATTTTTTTTAATTATAATCTTTTTGAGAAAAAAACTCATTTAAAAATTAATCAACGCCAGATGCGTGTGTAAAGCAAAAAATTTATAATACAAATATTAAAATTGTTAGAATGTTGTGATTTCAATTTCACACTTAGTCTGTTTAAGACAATATCGTAAAGATAATGAATTTGTTGTTGGGCATCGTAGGCGAATACCGCGTATTTCAAATAAAATTTCTAATAAAATAAAAATAAATAAAAATAAATAAAATAAAAAAATAAAAGTAATGATCGTTTTAAACTTTGGCTTGCACGCAACAGGATGTAAAGGAGCATAAAAACTGAAATAAGGAAGACGATGTTGGTTGGTTATTGCAAGTTTATTCGAGTAAAAAAAACGTGCTCAAATAAGAGATGAAAAATAATAAGGAAAGAAGTATGTGGCGAGGCATAACAACGAAATAAATAGAAAAGTCGAGGTGTAAGTTTGGCAAACTAATGATGGGAGTGGGAGGCCTCAGCGAGTTCGCTCGAGGATTTATGCCTGGCTTCGCTGAGCGACTCGTGCTCCTTCTCCTGGTACTCCTTTAGGTCCTCCTCCCTGTCGTGTCCCTGCGCCACTCCGTACTGATGGCCGTTCGTGAAGAAGCCCTTCCGATCTCTCTCCGCTTGCTCGTATGCGGTGTCGAGCTTCTCTCCTTTTTTATACTCGCCCGACCCCCTCGCGTGTTTCTCATCTTCGTGGCTGTAGTGCTCCTGCTTCTCATCCGCGTGCTCGTCGTCGTAGAACGTCGTGTCCTTCTTATATTCGTCCTTGTGGTACACGTTGTGATATCCCGTCGTCTTGTGGCCCTTTTTCTGACCCTCGTTATGGACGATGTGCTCGCCTTTGGCCGCGTTAACCGACTCATCCTTCTCTTTGTACTTTTTCTCGAAATCCTCGTGAGCCTTTTTTATGGCTGCCTCTTCGCGCACCAGTCCGGACTTCTCTGCCTCCTCTTTCTTACTTTTTTCCTCCTTCTCGAACTCCTCCGCGGCCTTTCAAATATCAAACGTCTTTAATAATTGCCAGTTATTTCTGTACTCTTGTGTTTCTTATGCTTGGCGTGTTTCTTTGGTTTGGCAAGTATCCATACGAATACATCCATTTCATTTATTATGGTCTAACTCGAGCAAAGTATTATTGAAATATATGAATAATAAGAGTAGAAATAATTGTTTATGAACTATGTGCGGTAGTACGGATAGTAAATTGATATCGATCATTGCTCGGCGTACCTTATAAGACTTTGAGCTCTCCTCCTCGCCACTCGACCCCTGGTCTTCGATATACTCTTTATCCTTTCGATGATGTTCCTTATCGTACTTGTGGTCGTGATAATGATCGTGATAGCCGTCGAATCCTGGAAGGTCGTCCGATTCGTCGCGGGCGTCTAGGTCGAAGGCCGATGGATGATAACGTTTCAGACCTACGTAACTCGTAGAATCATCAATGTCATCGGAATTCACATGCAAGAGCCTCGAGCCAAAAGTCTTTTTGCCAATCCCATCAGACATACCGAGCCGTTCTGTTTCAATGCCACTTGAAATGTCATCGATGCCACCGTCCACTAATTACAATTTGAACAAGAAGAACTTAAGTGCTCGTCAAATTGAGTGCACCGCTGTGAATTGTGTAATTTATGAAGGCCACTTGTAAGCATATAACAGCTTAATTCCCCAAACAAACAAACCCCATTAATCTCTTTAACATTATTCTGCAACTTTTGCAATAAAAGAATTATTATATCGTAGTCATAATGAATACAAGTGTCCTTCACGTTTATATTTCTAAGTGTCTTATATAGTATTAGGCATCGCACCTCCACCAAAATTGCCAGCTCTATATTTAATGGGAAAATGGAAACGTCCGTTGAATCTAGGAAAATTTAGACCTGTATTCAGTCCATTGATAATTCGAAATCTGGCAGGACTCGGTCGATCAAAAGTATCCCGGCCGTGGTTATTTTTACTATAGATGTAACTCGTCGCCGCTATCAAATCTTTCGTCGAGTTCTCCTTATTACGCTGCTCCAGCGATTTCGGTATTTCCTTGGTTAGAGATAAAGCCGATAACAGCATCGGGAGTAAAAGAATCGGTAGTACTTTAGCCGTAGAATCTAAAAATACGATTGCCATGACGATAATAATTCGATGTCCCAGAAGTCAATTAAGACGACGATATCGAACGGAATTTCAGCCCGGGCTATTATTAAAATGTCATGCACGGTGATTTATCTGATATACTTGGTTAACTTCTTGTTACTAAAAACTTGTTAAAAAAAAAAGAAGAAAGATAGTGGACAATGAATATGAAACAGCTAATGGTAGTACAACAAGTGCACGCGTGATTAAGAGCTTTCTATCAAGAACATATGAAAAAGCCCGTGGCTTTTATACTTGTCGTAAAAGAGCCTTTCTAGGTGAAATTGCCATGAAAGGTCGTTCCCTTGCTAAATAGTACGTATAAATGCAAATTGCGGCATCCGTGAAAAATACAAGAAAAACATTCGCACAGAGTGCGTGTTATGTGTGACGAAGGTGATTTTTTCTTAGCGTTTTTTCATCTCTCGACACAATTGCTTTCACAGGCAATGTCGACATTGTCACAATTTCATCGATCAACGGATATCGAGGTTCCCAGTAAGACCATATGCCTTCGACTATCTTTTTATTTCACATTGTCACAATGAAAAAATCTTACCAACTAAATCCTTGAAGGGTACGATCGGAAGGAGGGAATTTAGATCTCGATCTAGGCTAGAGAGGTGAACGTGATAAGAGCGAGCTTCGATTGTTAGGGCGCTACGATTAGGCAACTGGAATGACTAGATTACCTTAATTCAAATGAAAATTGGATGAATTTTGAATTTTATACTAGATATATAAATCAATTCGCCAAAATTTTATTCCAACGCACGGCGCTTCACTCTATACATAGTTGTGGGCGCGTTCGTGTCCGTGAAGTCCGCGGGAGCAAAGGAAGAAAGAAATAAAAGTGCATGCATGTGCGATATGCAAATCCACTTTATTAAAGTATAATGCGCCGGTGCTCTTTCACGAGATTTTTCCGCAACTTGCCTATGAATAATTGAAGCGTAAAACTACGTGAGAGCATTAAAAACTTTCTTTATCATTCGCGTTTAGTATTTTTCTTTTTTCTTTTTTTCTTTTTTTTCTTTTTTTTCTTTTTTTTTCTTTGTCTTTACGTTTTCGCTACTTTCAAGCTTATTGTACCGCGGCGAAATGCCACTTTTCGGAGCGCAAAGTTTGCTTTAGTTTTTTCGATATAGTTTTACATGGACGCTGACCCTTCCAACAGCCACAAACTGGCAACAGGTAGTCAAAATCTGCAGAAACATCAGTCCGTAATTTATATTCGTTACCGCATTACTACTATACACAACGCTACTTCGCGCACGTCAAACATGTAATATTTCTTAATTAAAGTGAAATAAATAAATAAATAAATAAATAAATAAATAAATAATAATAACAATAATAATAATAATAATAATAAAAAATAAAAAAAATAAAAAAAGAAAAAACATGAGTTCTTAGATAATAATCAAATGTGCTATTTGAATAACGAACGAGAATGTGGAGATTATTAATGCTATGAGCAAGATATGCAAGAAAAATGCAAATATGAATATATTGTATGTATTTATATTAAAATTATATATTTGTACATTATTTTTGTAAAGTGCTTTTACATTCTTCCAACTCCATTACAAAACTATTTAACGGAATAACTAAAGTGTCGTGAAATTTTATTAAATATTTTCATTCGCATCTAGCGCGAAGTAATAGGAATTTAATAAATAATTTCTATCGGTCTGAGGCACGACATGATTCAAAATTTTTCTCCTAAAAAATATTATTTAATGAATCGTCGTATACGGAAAATTATTTATATTTATACGTGTATGCGAAAATGAGAAACTTCTAATTTTTTTCACTCGAAGTATATAAACTTTGTACTCATTAATTTCAGTATAATAAAATTCACTTTATAATATCAATATTAAAAATGATTTTTAATCTAAAAGCGTAAAATTAACTTTCGGGAATAATATTTGATTTATAGCTTTAAAAATTTCGCTCAATAATGCCTCATCTTATTAGAAAATCAATAAAGCTTATGTAATACGAGCTTATATCATCGAATGTAAATCTAACTTTAAATATACTTTATTTATTATGCTAAATAAGCAATTGTACGTATTAAATGATTAAAGTCGTAATTGTAATTACAAGGGTTTCAATGATAATATTTAACGAGATCGCTCTACGATTTTCCAAACACTTTTAATGATGAAGGACCAATGTAAAAGCCACGGGAACGAAACACCCTTGCCAAACGCCAATTATTCATTATTATAGAAAAAAGATTCGGATGAAAGGAGCGACGACGTGTTTGATAAGCTATGTACAGGTCGGTGTTGCCGGCAGTCGGGATGCGCTTATCGGTATCCGTGAGCTTGCTTGAAGCCGTGTTGATTTGCGTGGTGCCTGGCGGCTTTTTTATCATAATCCGTGTGCTCCTCTCGATAGGTGTCCTCGCCCTCGGCGCCCTGATGCCCCTTGCGCAGATTGTGCTCAAGGCCCTTGTTGTGGTAGCCCTCCTGACCGTGTTTCCCGAGATCGTAGGCTGAGTCGTGCTTGCCTCCCTTCTCGTAGCCCGCCGCCTCATCCTTACGATGAGCGTCGAAAGCTCCGTAATTTTCGTAGTGCCCGCCATTATGGTCCTCGTCGTAAAAGTCCGTGTCCTTTTTATACTCGTCCTTGTGATAAACGTTGTGAAAGCCGGACGTACGGTGGCCTTTTTTCCGATAGGCCTTTTTACCGAAGTTCGCTCCCTCCTGGCCCGCCTCAGCCTCGTCGTGGGCGTCGTATTCCGAGTTGGACTCGTCGTGGCCGCCCTCGTGTCCCGCCTCCTCCTTGTACTCCCCTGTGACTCATTCGAAATTTTATTAGCTTAATCAGCGTGTCCGTGCTTTTACTCGATCGCCTGTTCCAAGCGTTCGAGAATTTTCAAGATCGGACGATGCTTGGGCGATAATTTACCCGTCTACCGCTGCGAGCTTTTTCTCTTTAAATATTCAACCTTCCGACTTACTCCGCAAGCGATAATAGCTTTCTCGATTTATACGTAATAATGATAGAATTTTGGAGGGGGCGTTTGGGGGAGGGGAAGGGGGGATGGCGGAGGGATAGGGGGAGTGGGTAGGAACGGAGAAAATAAAGGGATTTACAACCGTGAAATTTCTAAAGAATGCATTAATCAGATTCCTTTGGATGAAGTGAATAATGTATGGTTAAATTTTTCAAATAAACGATCAAAAGTTATCTGTTACTATCACAGCATTTTAGGCGCCGCATAAAAAATATAATATAATATCGTTTAAACTTGACGACGATTTAATTTTATGCTGACATAAAGATCTTCACGCGTATTATATTCTTCGCGCGTACATTGTATCCAATCAAAAGTAAAAATAAATTTTTTATTTAACATATTAAATTAATGTCCATAGTACAATTGTGATAAATAATCGCCACATAAAACGTAGAATGTAAAAAACATTAGTGTTCCATTAAAGGAGTGCGATTGTGTGCATTGTTAAATGCACGTATAAGGAGTGTATTTTTTTACTCTTTTAAGTGAAATTGTCAGAATGTTAAATTACTCGACTTTATATACATACGTATAATATATCGTGCTTTAGTTCAAACAGTTCCTACTGCGAAACAATTGCTACTACAAATTTACTAAAAAGACGAGTTTACATTAACGCTGAAACGCTTAATTCTATTTGTATTCGACTCATGTGCAAATACTTCCTGCGAATTAAATTTATTTTAAGCCCAAGAGTCCACCGCATTTAATATGTCATTATGGAGCTGCAAATCCGAGCAATATTCCATCATCGTCGTCGCGGTACTTACCCTCTTGATGAGCGGCCTCGCGGTCCTCGTTCTCGCCTCGGTCGAACTCGTGTTGGCTCCCATAGCCCTTCTCCTCGCGCTCTCCGTGCGCGGAATTATCCTCGGCACGGCGCTCGCTACCTTCGCCCTCCTCGAACGAGCCATCTTCACCGCGTTGCTGGTGACGGTGCTCGTCCAAACGATCGTGCAATTGGTAAGGGCTCTCGTAATGATGGACGAGTGGATAATAAGGGGCAAGGGCTCCGAGGCCATCATCGTACTGCCCGTAGTCGGTGTAGGCGTAGGGCCCCGGACCGTGGCTCGTATATTGTACGTACGAGACGGGAAGACTCTGGCGCTGATCGTAAGCGTAGCCGGAGGCCGCGCCCTCGAGATCCGACATCTTCGTCAGCGACATCATCGTGCGTGCCGTGCGCATTGGAATTGAGTCGGTGGCCATAGCTAGGAGGACCGACGCGAGCACGCGTACCACTAGGAGCCTCATCCTCCTCGTTGTTCCTGTACCAAGGATAGAGAGAACGGTAACCAGGAGAGAGGCCGTTGATGTTCGTCTTTTCGTTAATGCTTCACGATGGGGAGTAGAGACGAGAGAACAAAGGAATAAATTTCTGGGGCTAGTGAATGATAATTTTCAGATAGATGAAAATGTTCTTACTGTATTAGGGCGTATTAGTGGTGTGAACAAAGACCTCGTCCAATTGCGCTAAAATATCTGCTCAACGGCATTGACAAAAATAATTGAAATAATCATTTATTAGTGGCTTTGATATGAGTATGTATAATAATTTCGTTTTCATTGAACGTAGCATTGGGCAAAGCAATCATGAGCGCATTAATATAATTCGAACGATATAAGATATTGAATAAAAATTTCAAATTATTGATTAAGGAGGAGTGAAAGGAGGTGAGATTTGATATAAAATAAAGCCGTAGACTGGCAGTGATATTCATAGCTTCAAAATTATGCGTTAGAAGTATCATAAGAAAATACCACTCCCTTACCTGCTCCCACGTAATCCACAGAATGTCTCGGAAAGAAACACGTCGATGATAGGGACGAAGGTTGGGAAACTAAAAGAGATAACGGCAGTCCATACAATGCATACGGTTAATACGGAGCAGGAGCAAAAGGAGGTCCGATACTGTGCCACACTCGGTCAATCTCGTAGCTTTATACGACACTTCCAAGGACTGCGTATGATAGGGAATGTCGAACATACTTCACGGTCGATGTGGATAATTCAAGAACAGCCGCTGTCATTGACAATGCTCCCTCGAAATTCCTCGGTAATGCTCGGTACGCCAAGAAGCTTGTGCAATACCTCACTCACTTAAGCCGAAGCCTTTTTTTTTTTTTTTTTTTTTTTCACCCGCTGAGCGACAATGCCTTTTTATTCTCAATCATTGATAACGAAAATCAATAAGAAGAAATCCATTTGAAGAATCCGACTACTTCTGTCAGCGGAAATGATTGGATCTGAATTTCACCAGCTTCTTAGCATACCGTGTAAAAAAAAAAAATTAACTATACCGACAACATTGAGGGTGGATACTTTCTACGTTGCATTAATATTTCATCTATTAAGTAAATTAAATAGCGCGATACCATTAATCTTCTTATTTAAATAAATTGAATAATACTCGGCGTTAGATTATGAATTGAGCTATATGAATTAGTCATTATCACTGCTTTCATTAACATCTGTAAATAGTAATGATAATGGATATTACATAAAATGAATAAAAATATAATGCGTAGTAGCTCTTGATTAATAGTCGAAAGATGATAAAGAAGTAATTAAATAACATAACTTTATCCAATCACGGCGCAAATACTACACACTTTTATGACAAAAAAAAAAGAGGGGGAAAAAAGTAAAAACACCAAAACTAAATTAAAACCAAGCAAATCGATGAGCAAGAATATTTGAATGCAGCGTTTCTACTAATTGCCGGTTCTTTAATTTCATCGGTAAAATAATAATTAAAAATAATTAAAACACTTTTTAAGATTAATCCAGTAAAGTACGTATATTCTATCTAATGGGTAACATCAAAATATTTAAAGATGAGCATCAAATTGAATGGAATGCAGTAATTGCGGAACAAATAAAAGGATAATGATGACTAATTAAACCAATTACAATTCTTTATCATTATTTGATAATACAGTAGCATTATTTTCAATTTTGAATCGGTTCTACATAAAATAAAATAAAAAAAATTATTATCTTATACTTTATGTAATTAGTTAGTGAATTAGCATTAATTTTTTTTTCTTTAACAATAAATTTCCGGAATTAAAGAGAAATTACAATAATTATTTAATCCATTACGATCGTTACTTTTAGCTATTGAATCTTATTACGATATTATTGAATGAATCATACTAAAATAGGTAGAATTTTATTACATTTATCTAATTTGTCATAAATTTAATATAAACTATATTTGTTCTCCTCAAATTAGTGCTTCTAATTGTATATAATCGAAAAATTTAATGACTTTTAGTAATTTACTTTCTACGATCTTACATTTTTAAAATATAGTCTTTTAACTTTATAATTTCCCACAAAATGTATTATAAAGTAATTAGATTTTAATTTCACGTACGGAAGGATGCAGAAATTCCACAAAATTCTATGTGCATACATAAAATGTTGAGCAGAGAGAGAGAGAGAGAGAGAGAGAGAGACCGCATTAAAAAAAATATCATTTGTTTATCACTAACAATGCATAACGATGAATATTACAAATTATTATAATCGTCTAAGACATCGGACACCGAAATACTTTTAATATTTTGCGCAATGAAATTGCAAAATGAGATAAAATCAAATTCGGCAAAGTGATAAATTTTAAGGGACAGTTTTCTCCAACAAAGAAAATAACATTGAGTATTTAGATGATCTAGATTAATCTTAGAATATTATGTATTTGCACTTAGCGTGGCTGCTGTTGCAACATTCTCAGCTACAATTGCGGTTTTGCCATTGTAACACGAGTACAGCTAATATCTACACGATAATGCGCAAACCTCGGACATTATAATACGGATGATAAAAACAATTTTAACTGTGTCAGTTATCACTTTCTATATAATTACAGTTCTAATCGTCTGATAACATACAAATAAAAATCTAAAATATTATAGCATATTTATTTTCAAAGTTTTTCTTCATATGCCGGATTAACATGAACGGTAGTTAATATTATGATATAAAAAGTAAAAAATATGTTATAAAACATAATTTCACAACGTTAAGTATACACTGTGTTAAATCGAATAATAAAAAAATCTTAAGTTCACGTAGACGTTCATATTGAATGAAAACAGTTCTACGCATATGTAAACAATATTTGGTAAATACTGCCCGATCGATTGCAAATTTTTAAAAGCTCGATTTATATTCTCCAATATACCCCTAATCAAAATCTAATACCATTACACATTACCTTTACGCAATTAGTGCAAAAAATTTTTGACTACTGTTACACTTTAATCGTCACACTGTTGACTGGATAATAAGGATGCGCAATTTTTCACAAAATTAGCTAATAACGATGCGTCGGGCGTCAAGACGGGGACAGCAAGTCATTAGGCATTGAGCCGAAGCTCGTTATAAACAACGTTTCATCTGAAACGAGGAAAGAAGAAATGATTCTAACCTTCTATATTATGTCCGTTTCGTATTAGACCCAATATTGGCTATATATATAATGACGTCATTTGAAATGGATAATGATGTCTGTCCAGTGTTACGAGGCGACGACGCAATACAATTTCAAGAAAAAATGATGCATGAATATTTCGATACCAATTTATTAAAAAACTATACTGCACTCTATAATATTAAGTAAAAAAGTTGAATAATTTATTCAGTCCGAAAGTTCAGTTGCTGCAATTAATCATATTTTTCGTTGTATAGCTTTTCTTTACAAGCGATCAGTTCTTATAAGCAATAACTTTAAATTATGCATGTAATCAGTGTCCCAAATTTACTACCAGGCTCTGATAATTTTTATTTATATATTTATGCACAACTCCAATATTATGATAAAGCCCTTAATAAATAATAAAAATTTTAATAAAAAATGCTATTATAAAATGCAAAATATTTCCTTTTATAATCCATATATTCCATCCATATTGAAATATATAAAATAAAATGTATTTCTATAATATAATGTGTAGAAAAGTATTAGATGTTTAGTAAAATGTGTAAAAATGTTTTAAATAATGTTGTAGTGTAATGTTATGTTATAGTTGTTGTTGTTGTATGTTGTATATATTAACAATAATGTTAAAAAAAAAAACAAAAAACAAAAAACAAAAAACAAAAAAAAACAAATATTATCGACAGTTATATTATTTATATGCTATCAATAAATTCAGATAAATAAATATGAATATAAATATTTCTCATTAGATATTTACTAATATTTTCTTATTTATTATTGTATTTTAAATTTATTTAACAAAAACAGAAATAGATGTAAGATTATTTAGATAGAATAATTTAGTTCAAAATTATTGAATTGAGTATGAAAATAATACAAATATTAATTGATATTAATGTGCAAATGTGAAAATTAATTGAAAATTTAAAAATAAATATTAATTTAAAAAGTTTTGAAATTTATACATTCAAATAAATATACTTTTATTATTCAATCTTGCATATTATAATAAATATTACATAAACCTCATTATCTATATTTACTTTTTACAACGAGAATACAGCGATTGGACCTTTACAAATTTAACTTGTAACGTCGATATCATGAATTATGAATTACATCCTATTTGCATTTGAAAAATCACTAATATTAACTATTTCTTTAATTATGAGCATTTAAATTGGCCAATAGAATAGTAAAAGAAAACGAAAAGATATATAATTCACTATTTAAATAATTTTTCAATAATTCTCCCTTAATTAACTAAATTTACTTTATTCTTAAAACTGGAAACTGGCTAACAAACATTTAATATTTTTTAATAACGTAATTGTAATAATATGTGTATTTACGGATACAGAAATACACTGTAAATGTCAAAGGTGCACATAGATTGATATTAATATTACACTATTATTTCATAATAAAAGATCCTTGAATATTAAATTATTCATATGAATATTAATTCATATTAATTAATATTAATCGTTCATATTACAACTTCTCCAAATAAGACATTTATAGAGTAAATAATCTAGCATATATTTAAAAAATAAATTGCATCTCTTAATTGTAGAAGAAGTTGAGGAAAATATAGTAAAAGTTTTCTAAATAACATGGATAGTTCAAAAATATATATATTTTATTACGAAATCGTATACTAACACAAATGCAGTCTCTGTTAATTTAAAAACTTTGTAGGGCTGTGCAATTTACCCAGGAAAAAGCGTTCAAGCATTCAAGTAGATGTTCACTCCCGTACTAATATTTAATTTACTAAAAAATAAATCCACATAATTTCATTGTTTATAAGTGTATAGAATTAATAATGTCACTTTTAAAAATCACAAATTATTCAATTAAATTTCCGCATTCGTTTAACATTATTATTGTTTATTATTTGCAAAATATTTTGATAATCATTAATCAAACTTCTGCTTAATATTTTCAAATGACAAATATGCATGTTTATAAAATTGTTTTGAAAACACACTTATTACAAATTATTAATTAAAAATTCGTATAATAAAAGATTAAATTATCTAATGGATTTTATAAGCCTACA